GCTGTGTATGAATAAGTACTGTCTTCACATCATTGTCCATCTTTGTTCCCTATCTTTTTCCCATCATTGGTATCATGTAGTGATGATTCTATAACTTGGAATGCTTAGGTCCATATTATATACTAATATTTTACATAGAAGAGTTATCATTTATAAAACTGAAAAAGTCAGGTTTTGGCAATTAAATTACCAGATAAAGACTAGATAGTACAGCGATTTATATTGCCATCGGTCAAGAGTAGTGATAAGGTATAATTTTGATGACAGAAAATAGACGCAATTTATTAAGATTTCATTCCAAATCATGAATTATGAAACATCTTCTGAAAGTGTTACTGCATCTTGAAAATAAGTTGAGATAATGACACTATTCCTATTTTATCAAAACTAATTGTTCTTTTAAGAACAAGAGAAAAAAAAAATATTTATTACTTTTAGGTAATTCAATCCGATGTAGTCGTTTCATATCTTCGGGACGAATGCCCCTCTCAGTCATTGTCAGTGGCGGATCCAGAAATGTTCATAAGTGGGGCCAACTGACTGCCTAAGAGGGGACCTGCTGCGGTAATGCTTCAGTGATTCACTATATAATCAACCAAATTTTTTCCCACAAAAGGGGGGGGGGGGGGGGGGGGGGGGGGGCTGGCACCCTGGGACCCCTCTAAATCCACCTCTGCCTCAGATATGAGAAGCTTACATCTAATACATTTGGCATATCACATTCAACCACATTATACGTTACATGCACGTGCATGCGCATGTATGTAAACAGACATTCTCGCTATCAACATCGACATGATGAATAGGAATAGAATCTTATATTAATTGTTCAAACAGTATAGGATTTAATTGTTATCCAATTTACAACGCATTCCACTGTTTAAATTAAAAAAAATGCTCGCGTTTCGGTAGTATGCTAATACACCTTATCGCTATTCCCGCTTGACCCGAGAATCTGTCCCGCTTGAACTTTTGACGTCATACAACAATCACTTTTCCATTGTGGCGTCAGATATTTTCTATTATGACGTCAACATTTTACTGGTACTTTTGTGATGTCCAGTAATGGCGGACAAATAGCGATAAGGTGTATACACTTATATGAAGACAATATCCATATCCTTTGAAGCAGTATACTACGGCTTCGTGTCGGACCATCGGACTGTCGGATTAACGGACTGTCGGATTATTGGACTGTTAGACTATCGGTCTGTCGGACTACTGGACTGTCGGAATTTCGGGGTGTCGGATTATAGCTACGCTCCCAAAAATAATGTGCGTACTCAAGGATTTGTATAGTATCACTATACACCTTATCGCTATTTGTCCGCCATTACTGGACATCACACAGGTTCCCATAAAAATATTGACGTCATAATACAAAATATCTGACGCCACAATGGAAAAGTGAATGTTGTGTGACGTCAATAGTTCAAGCGGGACAGATTCTCGGGTCAGCCGGGAATTATATAGCAATATTCAATAAGGTGTATACAAATCCTTGGCGTACTAAAAAACAAATTATAATTATTTATCAGAAGGTATTCTTTTTATATTGAATATTTCTCTAATAGCAAGCTTATAATGTGTTCACCACAGAAATCCAAAGTATATATCTATTTTGAACGTTTTCGTTCATGCATCATTATTTTGCATGCCAACGCCGGCAACGGAAAGGAAACAATGGGCGATAACCACGAATGTAAATATCGCCACACAATTCACTCGACTCCCATCGTCTCGCCCCTACCGGTGCTTGCAATTTTCTATTTTGCCGGTTCTTTAAAGAGAGAGAATTTTGAAAAGTGCTAAAATGTGCAACACAAAAGAATCAAATTATTACTTATATAGGTAAATAAGATAACGTACAGTAATAATATTTGAAGATCTCAGTGTTTCCTTTTATATTATAGACCGTGAATATAATTATCTGAACTCAGTGAAATGTAAATTTTTTGGCAATAGAAAAAAAAAAAAAAAAACCCAAAATGTCTTTAGAACCTGTATTTTAATAGCACAAAACGAAGAACAAAGATCGAGGATTCAGGAACTGCTGTCTGTAATTCAAACAATTGTTATCAAGTTAAAATGTTGTAACCAAATGGCAATGTAAAAAAATGGTATCAAAAATTTCGTTCTTTCCTGTTACCAAATCAATTAAAAAAATTTCTAATGGGAATGAGGAATAAGTTTAAGATACTATGTGTGGTTTACTAGTATACCCTGCAATATTTTATCAAAAGCCAATTATTTATTTTAGCATTAACAATACAAAAGCTTAAGAAATATACTAAAATATAGCCTGATTTGTCGGTAATATGAAAGAATCTTGAGTAACAGGACAGAGTAAGTAACAGGAATGATTTTTTTTTCAAAACAATTCCTTTCTTTTCATAGTTAAAGAAAAAAAAACATCATTACAAATTGGTCACAATGGGAAGAAAACAGCAAACAATGTCATTTTTCTATTGAAACTTTATTTGCAAGATGAAAACTATGATCTGCCTAGCGGGTAATGAAAAATTCAAAAATAAATTCCTTTCTGTTATCATATGTTACTATACTAGATGATTGCACAATGTTTAGTCTGCAGTTATCAAAAGTCAAAAACCTGTCTTTTCATTCAAAATATTGTATATTATGTTGTTATTTATTTAATATGATGATCATAACTTATAATAAATGAAATGTTTAGCATATATAGTAGGTTAACATTGTTTAATCAGTGAAATTGTCTTTAACATCCTTCCTGTTACTGAGTAACATGACAGAACGTAACAGAAAGTACACAGTGAGTACTCCTAGGCTTGTCCTTTTATTTGAATTGTTTGGAAGTTTACTTACATCTGCATATCAATTCAATAAGATAATGTAAAAACATATTTATAAATGTTATAGTGCTGACAATGAAATATTCTCAGAAGGTACACAAAAAGGCTGTAACAGGAGAGAACAACAAAATAGTTTTTCTCTAAATTCGTATCTTGGGTGAGCTCGGATTTTTCAAACTGGCCGCCATTCAAACTATACATGTGGAGTCATACATTCAGGAAATGATGTTCTTCTCATTGCATTCCAGGAAATTAAAAATTGGTCTTTTATTGGGACAAATTTTTAAAATGCAATTAGTTTTAGATTTGCTTTAGTTATAAAAAAAAATCAGATCAATAGAGGACAACTTTCTTATATAATTTATCATATGTGTGACATTTGGAAACTGAGTTACTTGATTAAGATATTCTTTGAATGATTTGATTGTCAGAAAAACAACAGTGGACAACACGGCGATTTTTTTTTGGGGGGGGGGGGGGGTAGGGGGTTGGAACATTTAAATTATAAAATTTTATTGAAAGAAATATGAGGAGGAGTGTTAAACGGTCATTAATTGGTGCATTATATACTCAAGTTAATACTGAAACTCAAAATTTTCTAAAAATTAAATTGGATTAAAAAGTAATTGTATGTGAACTATGGAACCAGGCAGTTAGACATTTCCAGATATTGTCTCATAAATATATTCATATTTCTTCTGATCTATCTATCTATAATAATTTGAAGGCAAAAGGCAAAAATGCTGGTAAATATCGTCTTTAACATGTTTAAGGTAGATGGGGTGTCTAAATCATAATCCATAGAATTTTTTTAATAATTTGCAAAAATGTAGTTTATATCAGGTTTTTTTTTTTTTAAATAATAAAAAGAATGGGTCACGAAGCTTATTTTCATGCTACAGGTTGTGCAAAATTGACAAATTTGGTATAGATTATGCATGGAAAACCTAATTTTCTGCCATAAAACCAAAACTTCACCATAGAATTTTGAGATAAAATGTGAGAATATAGCTCTAATATAATGCTTTCAGTGAGAAAAGAAAAGAAAAAATGGGGTCATGGGACTCGTTTTCTTGCTACATAATAAAATAGGTAAATTCCTAACACATTCTATTGTAAAAATAACTTTATCTGAATTATCTGCCCTTATATTTGAGTTGCCTCCCCTTATGTGGCACAGTTGGAAAAAATTGAACCAAACAAAAGTATTCTGTTTTTTTGTAAAATACAACCATAAATATGATAAAACATGTCATTTTCTATATTGAAATGAAAATCCTTACACATGAATTACCTACTACTCTCAAAATTTGCACATTTTATTAAAATTCTAGTCCGATTGTTTTCTGGTATTTCAAAATCCAAGACGGAGGAAGACACCCTATCTACCTTAAGGACAAAACTGCTATAATAAAGAGTAGACCAACCCATTCAGTATATAAACTTATTTGAATAGATCTGTCTTGCTGATCATTTTTGTTTCTTAGATTTTCCAGTTTTCAACATATAAAATTGAGAATGGAAATGGGGGATATATCAAAGAGACAACCTGACCAAAGAGCCGACAACTTGATATCCCGACCAAAGAGCAGACAACAGCCGAAGGCCACCTATATAAATTTGTAGTAGGCAAAACACATAAAATTGGTAAAAATCGTCATTGAAGGATCCTAGCTTAAGGATTCACTCTTACGATTTAAAAAAAATACTGTAGATCTTGTATCTATAAAAAAATTTATAGCTTTCAAGTGTATTGATAAGATCATTAAACAAAAACAAACATGAGAAAAATCGTCATTACGGATCAATAAGTCCAATAAGAAGTTGACTGACGATCTAGCTATAATATAGGTCAAGTTGACTTCTTAGTAGATCTCAAGTTGTCTTCGCTGATCATTTCAGATTTGCTTTTAATGTTTCTCTCTATCTATAATAATTTTACAAAAACGCTTTAGTGATTACCTGTATAATGAACCACATTTTACCCACAAAAGGGGGCAGGCACCATGCCCCCTTTTAATCCGCATCTGGTATAAACGATTCGAGCTGACTTTACAAGTTGATTTATTAGTCGGCCCGAGTATGTTTCCGGACCGAGTTGTCCAAACACCCTTCAGATTTCGTTTTGCAAGAATTTTCTAAATTTAGATTTTCCATATGAAGGTTAAGGTCATTGAGAAATGCGGGTCGATGGAGGAAATGGAATTATGAATGCAATTGAATTTCAACCTTTTCCAAGGAGATTTGTGGTAAACAAAGCGTAATACGCATTTATATTATTTCCAACAAATGTATGTTGTTGCTGGATATGAATGAAAATGAGATTTTTGCCCTGAAAATTAATATTTATAGCAACCATAATTCTATATCCATCACTGTCGGTGTTAAATGTTATCATGGTTTATATCAGACAGCCTTATTTTGTTACAACGGAGCATGATTTTCCATCCTAAATGTACTCTGTTCAAACCGGGGTTAAAACCCAGCACCACTGGCACCATATGTCAAACATCTACGACCTTAGTTAGAGAGTAAGCTACTTCACTGCTTGAACTTGAGTACTTGTGCAGCTAAAGTTTTACGTAAACGAATCTGAGTCCGTTCGCCCTGATTCTCGCTCGCCCTAGTACCTGTTTGCCCATGGTCCATTCGCCCTGATTTTTATTTTTTTTTATTCTTGTCTAGCTGCATAATCACGTTCTTTTTTTGAACAGAGTATGTTACAGTTTGTGGAAAAATTTGCCAAATATTTGTATTGCTGCAACCAAATCTTTTCCTTTGATTTGCAGAGTAGAATATTGGAATACAATGTATTTATCTTTATTGATATTTTAATAATTCTAGTCAGTCAATTTATGCAGTATGATAACAAATGAACATATGAATCCTTGTCTGTTTTACAATTTGTACACCAGTCAGGGGACTTACTTAAATGAGTGATTTTCTAAATCACTGATTCAAGTAACATTATGTCCATAAAGGTTGGAAGTAAGAGTTGTCTTTCTTTAATAATCACCTATTTAAGTAGTAAATTAATCACTGGACTAAGTGATTTAATTTTATTGTAGCTTTAAATATAGAATACTAATGATCCAGGGACTAATTATGTTGCTAAAATTATCAGAACCAACATCTGTGTTGATAGGATTTGCAGCTAGATGATTGCATCAAAGGCATAAACCTTGCTGCTTAAAAGAAGCAAAAAGTTATTTTTTTTCAATTTTACTAATGAAAAGATATTATCTAAACCTATGTGTTTAAAATTTTGGTAAAACTACAAATCACAATTTGTGACAAAACTTTGAATTTGCTACTTAAATAAGTGATTTAAAAATCACTTATTTCAATAAGTCCCCTGACTGTACACCATTGTATTTACTCATTCCAAGTGGACTAATTTTATCAAAACAAAATGTTGGTTTTATTATTTATCTATCAAAGATAATTTTTACAACAATCAGTGAGAAATATATTATTAGGAACAATTAATGCTAAAAAAACACACCATTAATTTTAAATATTTCCATGAATTTCAAGAATTTATATACCATATAAATCATGTAAAATCCAAATAAGTTGATTAAACTGTAATACCCTAATACGAATATTTTTCAATAAAGTAGGGAGAAGTAACCCAGGGCGAACAGACTCTATGGGAAAACAGACTCAGGGCAAATGGACCCAGGGCGAACGGACCTGATACCACCATAGACCATGTACATGATGTAGACACAATGTTAAAAAAAAGAAATAATATAAAAAAATCCCTACCTACATGTACATACCCTAACTTTTGTTTAGATGTAACTAGAACCACACATACTATTTTATTTGGCCTTACAAATTATACAGGTTTAGAAAAAACCCTCAATTTCAAATGAGAGATAACCATAAAGTTAATGACTATCCCTTTTATCATGTTAATGAGGGGTAGAATTCAAGTAATAATAAATATAAATTTTTCAAAAACCACAAAAGGGAACATCTTTATATTATTTGCAGAAACTTTGCTCTAGGCTAAGAACAATATGTCAATCTGGTATTATACAGGTTGGACAGGAAAAGTGGGATATTCCCTGTTTTCATGGAACACCCCAGTTTTCCATTGTTTTCTGGGAAGCAAGTTAACTCATACCATTGCAAACTAGTACCACTAAAAGTCGTACCATTTAGAACTCGTACCACTGCAAACCTATACCATTAAAAATGTATACGATATACATGATATATAAATGTTTAAAATATCAAAAACATTTTAAATCTTTTTAAAGAAAAGTTGAATTTCTTGAATTTTATACAAAAATTTAGACAATATACTATTGTTTTATAATCCTTGATTGTTTATTTAACATTGAGTGGTATTTATAGATTGTGTTTGTTGCAAGGAAATGGTCGAGCCTCTATCTCGATTTCGTTATTAATTAGTTATATTGAAGACTGGTTCCATTTGATTAGAAGCGGGAACAACTGTATATAACAATGTATAATTAAATAGGGATACCAGTAAAAGGATTAAACAAGGGAGGCAACAAATTTGTATCTTCACTATCTTGTGCTCTTAGATTCAATAAAATACCGGCTACAATTTCACAAATGATTTCAGATGTTCACTAGACTGGTCAGGGAAGCACCAGTGCTTCTGCACAAGTCCGATGAGATTTTTACTAGACAGGGGCTTCGGGCTACCATGTTGCAGACTGAAAATCAGCTGCGAATTGGTCATTGTGATTTTAAATTATATACTTTTTACAGACTTAAGAGGTATTGAGTGAAATTTGGATATTTATTCATAATTAAACACCATTTGAATGCATTTAAATAAGTTGGTACAAGTTTGTTATGGTATGAGTTTACTGTGGTTCAAGTTAGCAGTGGTACTAGTTGACATTGTTACAAGTTTGCAATGGTACATGTACAAGATAACTATAATTCAGTTTTCTGGTATTCAAAAAAATAGTTTACAGGGACTTCCTTTTTCTATTTCAATTTAATGCATGCTCATGGTGTAACTGACCATAATGAAAAAAAGCCTTAATGCAATACAAATATTAAAAAAATATTTTTTTACTCAACAATGCTCATGATCAAAGCTTATTGGTTTATATTTTTCTTACCATGCATGCTCATTGCTGTGTAGGGCCATGTCTCTATTTAGTGATATTTTTTTTGTATTGAGGCCTGACTGGTATCCAAATTAAATATTTCCTTTTCTTTTGCAGAATTGATGTAGTACATGTATGAAGTAACACAAGTCATCCAGTTTAGCAGTAGAAAAAGAGTGAAACGTAAAAATAGTAACCTGAATAATGGAACGTCCTTCAAAATACCATGATTAAAATGACAGATTAGGTCACCCTTAAAAAATCATTTGTTTAATGTTGCCTACCCATGCCTCATATTCATGATAGTGTTGGGTAGGTAGGTAGGGGTTTTATTTTTGGCCAACAACATGTTTCATGTTTTAGACAAGAAAACCATGTTGGAAAGGAACAAAATTTTAAAATAAAGAAAAAAAATTGAAGCAATTTGTGTCATAAATTTTTTTGATTAGGCTGCTTTTTACATGTTTTATGTGGGTAACATCAAACAATTTAAATTTTATTTTTGGCCTTAATCATCTTGTGGTGTTAAAAAAAGAATCAGTTACAATTTTTTTTTCATAACTTTCTAAAATTCCCCTTTGCTACACTGCAACTCACATATATTTTGTCATTTCCACGGGGGCAGACATTTTGCTGTGTCCACTCTACATGGTCTGAACGTGCCATTCCTTCCCTTTCACAATAGATGACTGTCAAATTCATGCACTTTCCTGTACATTTACTAAATCACAGTAAGAACTGATAGTTCAATTAATGTCGATTCACCACAGGTGAACCAGTGTAACTCATTCATAAAAAATCAACTGAGATTGGTCTATACTGTGAATTCAGAAATTATTGCTAGGTATTTATTACTGCCAATAATGCGACTTGGTGAGAATTGCAATAATAAAAACTTACATTCTTATACATGTATATACAAATGTAATACATATATCTGTATGCAGATTTTATTGAAATCGCAATAATTAAACTGGTATAACGTAAGATTGTCCATTTTTCAAAAATCACAATAATGAACATGATGAATGCACGCAATAATTTCTGAATTTACAGTATATGAATTGCACAAGCAGAACCAGTAAAAAATGGGGGAAGTTTTTTTGTATTCAATATTTTACACAAAATCTAAATTTGAGAGCACAGCAGGAAATGACAAATTCAAACCAAGTTGTATGGTATGTTCATTAAAGCCCACATTCATTTGAACTCTGGTGGACAGTTGTCTCATTTGAAATATTTATATACCATTTGATGCCTTGTCACATCCCTCTTATCAACTTCCTGTTGCAATACAGAAAACTTTTATATATTTCATATTCTTAGACACAAATGACCACTTTGAAATGTTTGTCAGATTTTTTATTGAATTGTTGAAGGGGCATCCTGAAATTTAAGAACAACAATCATCATGTTCATGTACATGTAGCATGCTTACTGTGTGATGCTCTTCAACTTCATGTTTACTATAACATAAAAAGGCAAAAGCATTTCTCACAGATGATCGTGTTAAATGAGAATTTAAAACAGGGACATAAAAATAAAAAAAAAGGTACAGTGCACATCAGGTTTTACAGTGAAAATTTATAAATATTGGTGTTGAGTGATTTTTCTGTTAAACAGCATGTTTGCTGGTAATTTTTATGCCCCCGCCGTAACGGAGGGGGCATTAAGTTTTACCCTTGTCCGTACGTACTGTCCGTACGTACGTACGTACGTATGTACGTCCGTCCCAAATTGGTTTCCGTTCTCTAACTTGAGTTTGCCTCAACCAAATGTTATGAAACTTATACACAATGCTTATTACCACAAAACATAGATCAAGTTTGAATTTTGGTGGCATCACATTAACCGTTCTAGAGTTATGCCCCTTTATTAATGGAAAAATTGCAAAATTTTTAGTTTGCCTCAACCAAATGTTATGAAACTTATACACAATGCTTATTACCACATAATACAGATCAAGTTTGAATTTTGGTGGCATCACTTTAACCGATCTAGAGTAATGCCCCTTTATAAATGAAAAAATTACAAAATTTTTAGTTTCCGTTCTCTAACTTAAGTTTACCTCTACCAAATGTTATGAAACTTATACAAAATGCTTATTTTGACAAAACACAGATCAAGTTTGAATTTTGGTGGCGTCACTTTAACTGTTCTAGAGTTATGCCCTTTATAAATTAAAAAAATGCAAAATTTTTAGTTTCCGTTCTCTAACAGTCAGGGGTACTACTTGTACAAGTAATCTTTATTTACTTGAAGAAGTAAAAAAAATATACTTATATAAGTTAATTATAATGTTTGAATAATCTCCCCTTAATTTTCTCAAAAATTTACTTGTATAAGTAAAAAAAATTTACAATCCCACAAAAATTCTCAAGTTTTGAGATGTAAAAACATGCCTTTAATGATTTTTCCCAGGTTAGCTCATAATTTTTTATTAGAGTTCAATGCTTCATCTCATTAATTCAACAAAGAAACTGATTGCGCAAAGATCTTAAGTATTTGTGCAAGGCCTTCAAAAATTGCCCCTTTGGGGCTTGTAAATGGGCAGTGTTCTGAAGATAACAGACAAATGAGATTTTCATTGTCCATGAAATTACACTTACATGATAAGAAAAGACATCTGCAAAGGACAGACAATTTAAAATTCTATTAGAGCAAAGAAGTCCTAAGAATTCAAGAAAAGAAGATATGATGACTTTTTTACTTGGAATTAAAGAAAACTAACTATAAGAAAGGTGACCTTTGAAGTTCGAAATGCCTGGTTTTTACTACTTTTAGGACAAGAAGAGGGTCACCTGACAAGACAGGTTTTCGTTAATTAATTAGAGGTGACCTTTTTAGGTGGTTTGATTATTAATATCATGTATCATAAGGTTAAATCTCAACATTTCATTGTCATTTATCATTTTTAAAAAATTACAATTTTGTATATTTTATAGATATCTTTCTCGATTTCAACTTTTTCTTTTAACATTGCAGGACAAATTAAAGAGAAGTGCTCAGTAAACTGTACTTGCAAGGTTTAAGGATCAGTGATTATATCCTTAACTTTGTGATTATTTTCGGCTGTGCACTTTACTACAGCAAATATAACTTCACTGTTAAAAGCTTTTCATATGAATGACTGAACCTATGACCTCTGAACTGTCAGAATTTACACAAAATGGCTGATAGCAAACCACCATTGTCAACTCAAACGTCCAGTCAGAAAACTGATCGATTGGACTTTGATAATGATTTTGGTGGGAAAAGTACAGCTAGAAGTAGAAGTGGGACGCCACAACCAATAAGTGATCTGGAAGAGGGAGAAATATCATGTGATTCATCTGATCATGAAACGATCGAGGAACTGAATGAAAAACGGAAGTTACTGCAGAGCATTTTAGAAGAGGAGAATAAAAAAACCACCAGTGTAGAGAAAGAAAAAGACCGAGATCGACATGAAAGGACATATAATGAAGAAGATAGGAAAAGGCCTTATGTGGAGAAAGGGAAGATAAGGGATCGTTACGAAAAGTCAACAGAATCCAGCTTGAAATACAGTCCTGTAGCACCACCCACTCTTGGAGGCTTATTAGCTGAATGCAAAAAATCAAAAGGGGAAAAGGTTGAGGCTAAAAAGGCGCAATCAGATCAAAATCCAAAATCAAAACCCTCTTTACATAATGATAACAAGAGGAATAGAAGTGAACGTAGAAGTGGAGAACATAGAAATAGAACTGAACGCCATAGTGGGGAAGACAGGACAAGACCTGAACGTCGAAGTATTGACCAAAAAAACAAAAATGAGAAAAATCAAGATAAAGAAGATACTAGGGATAAAGGGTCTGATAAGTTTGGCAAGAAGAATATGAGTCCTAGTCAAATTGAGAAGAAAGAAAAGATGCAAGAAAAAGTTGAAAATGGTAAAGCTAAAATTCTGGTTAATAAAAAGGATAGAATTCACATTCTGGTTGGTCAAAAAGATAAAGTTCAAGTTAAGGAAACAAATATTCAAGATCAGGTTGGGAAAAAGAATGGTCAAGATGAAGCTAAGGATAAGAAACCTGATGAAAGAGTGGACATAAGTGAGGTAAATAATTCAAAACAGTCAAAGTGCAATGAACAGGCCAATGAAAGCAGCATAAATGATTATGAGCATAATGAACAAAAGGATAAAGGTCAAGAGGACAAAAGTCACTATGAAAAGACAGACAACACCATAGATGAGATAATGGACAATCTAGAGGAAATGTCTTGTAGTTCATCAGACCGTGACAACAGCATAGATGGTAATGATATCAAAGACGATTTAGGAATGAAAAGAAAACATTCCGACGAAGGTTCTCCTGCTAATTCAGAGAAGAAACAAGACCAAGATGAACGACCGACCAAAAGGTCAAAAGTTGATCAGACTGATGACACATCAGACCAAAGTCAAAAACAAGATGACCCGTCAACAGGAAATTCTATAGTTGATAACACAGATGAAATGTCAGATAGCAATTTAGATGATTCAAAATCTTGCCCTTTACCCCAGGAATTCCAAATTATAGATGATTTAGGTGCAGACGAGGCAAGTAAAGCTTCTGATGATGAAGTCAGCATGGGTATGGAAGATGGAGAGTACTTCAGTGAGGACCTGGACGATAGTGAGATCTATGCCTGGCTGGAAGAAGGGGTCAGTAAAAAATCCATGGCAGACAATGATAGCGATAAAGTAGTGCCTGTGGATGAACGAGAAAAATTTGTTCTTTTAGGTAGGTTGCAGATATTTTTAATGTGTAATTGTTTGTGTTTGTTTTGTCACCTAAGCCTGACTTTATAGGCGTACTATTTCCAGTGCTTATGACCTCAACGACTGTTGAACTTTAAGGTCGGGTCACTTGCAGAGGAACCACTTAGAGGTAAACCATAAAGTCAATGACTTTTGGAAAGCAATTATATTCGTGTTGGAACATCTCTTTTCCACAGAGATTGCTGGCTTCAAGACTTGATACCAAGCTAAATCCAATTCTCGTGAGTTTGTTAAACCTATTTCTCTTATGGCATGTTTGGTCAATACTCTAATTGTGTTCAATTAAAAGTTCTGAGAAATATAGTCAGTCAGGGGACTTACTTGTATGAGTGATTTTCTAAATCAATGATTCAAGTAACATTATGTCCATAAAGGTTGGAAGTAAGAGTTGTCTTTCTTTAATAATCACCTATTTAAGTAGTACAAAAATTAATCACTAGACTAAGTGATTTAATTTTATTGTAGCGTTAAATATAGAATACTTATGATCCAGGGACTAATTATGTTGCTAAAATTATTAGAACAAACATCTGTGTTGATAGGATGACTGGGTCATGTCAGATGATGACCTTGTACTAAATCTAGGATAATGACATAAAAATCACTTGTTTAAGTATCATACCTCAATTTCCTTCCAAAAAATCACTTCTTTAAGTATCATTATTTTGATAACCCCCACTAATTTCAACACCCCCGAACAGTGAAATATTGATAGCGAACCGTAGAATTTTATTACATAAAAAAGTCATAATCTAGAAGATGAAACCTTGAATTTTACAGGAAAAATACTCCCACTGCTGGGACATACCAGTATAACATCATATGTCCTGTTCCAGCATCAAACTTTAAAATCACACATTTTAAAACATTTTGTATGCTTTAGAATATAATTAAATTTGACAAACAATGACAAATGTCAGATTTCAGGTATTATTGAAGAAATTACATATGTCCATTGCCATAGATGGAATGTACTTTGTCTTAACCTTTGAAAGTCATCAATGACCCAACAAATAGCCAATGAAAATGTTGTAATATTGTCTCATGATGCTGGATAAGCCAATCAAATTAATGCATTTTTCGTATCACACTCCGTGCAGTGTGATACAAGAAATATCTCTTCATGCAAGAAATAGATAAATAGGCCACAAGAGAAATGAAGGTACATTCAAAAATTGACATTGATACATGTATCTAAAGTGTATATTTATGTTGCTTGGACCAGACCCAAGCAGCTCTGCATAAGTCAAAGAGATATTATTTTCAATAAGTGTACACATGTAAACGATAATGCAAAATTTCCCCATGTAGTCTTTCAACCTCTATTTCAATATGAAGGAATGTTTTTTATGTTCAAGGTCAAGTTATATGTTAGTATAAATTTGATCTTTCTGGTTAAATAAGCTCCAAACAAAAGGTGGACCACTTAGACCATCATGTTACTTATGAGTTTAAATATAATAGTCTCAAAATGTATGTACATTATAAATCATGATTCATAGAAAAGTTATACCAGTGTACGTTTCACTAGTGATTATTGTAGATCAGTCCTGGGAGGCTGGAACTGATAATTTTTTGCCATGGCGAATACAACAGTGAAAAGAAGAAATGCTATAATTAATATATAATGTGTTATTTAAGTCTTGATGACAAAATAGAGCAAGGAAAAGACTTGGAAAATTTTAATAGAATGATGATATATTGATGCAACATTTAACAGTCTTGATGCATCTTTGGACTCACCAGTTTTGAATATGATGAGTCCAGGACTCAATGAAAAGCTTTAGTGAGAACCCTGAACATTCCAGTTAAAATAAAGTGTGAAATAAATCAATTCTATATACATGATATATATGTTATCACAGAGAAAGGAGTTGATCCATTTGAAGTGCTGCCAGAAGGATGGGTTGCTGTCACACATAACAGTGGGATGCCAGCCTACTTGCACAAGGCCTCGAGAGTTTGCACATTATCCAAGCCATATTTCTTAGGTCCAGGAAGTGTTAGGGTAAGTGTCTATATATACGTATGTCTATATATGGGACAATTGCTTATTAGAACTATGTGCTAATTTCTAGTTCTAGGTAGTGTGAGGGTAAATGCCTAAGATGCCATTGCAAACGTTAATATCTTTGTTATTCAAATGATATCATTGTAGTCCAACTACAATGTAGAATCATGATAAATATCTGTAGAACACTCAACAGTTGTCTATTTTAAAGATACATTGTATGTTACCCCTGGAGTAGTCATGACTGCCAACTTTCCAAAATCTCAAAAGGAGGAAGGGAGGGTTTAAGCATAAGAGGTATTAACTAGGATATCTCTTATACAAGTCATAAGTGTTTAAGTCTAATATTCTATAACTTTGAGTTTGTATGTAATATATATATATGTGTGTGGGCTTAGATTATATTTACATTTTGTTAAACTCCTGATTTCAATTATTTTGTTCATGTAATGAAGGTTTTCATCAGTCAGGTCAACACTGTTCATGGGGGGAATTCTCCATAAAATTGGAAAGTTAACAGGCTACTTTCTATGTTTTCTATGTATTCTAAGGGTAAATTTCGATGATTGCCGCTACAAGCACGCATGTTACCCATGCCCTTATCATGCTTATGTAATTTTGGTATGTTTTTAGGTAAATAGAATTTGAAAGAATGCTAGTTTGATATTTTAAATATGTTCATTATCCATCTGTCTGTGTGTGTCATGTCTGATGCCACCTAGAATTGTCTTGTCTGGTTTGATTCTTGAAAATGCTTAAGATATTTTAAATTCACTAAAAATATACACTTTCAACAAAAGACAGTTAACATGTTTAAGTTGTTTTTCACAAATGTCGATGTAATAAAATTTTGGTTTATTAGTGCAGAGCTATTTATAATTATAATTTTCTGTCTACCAGTTTTTTTGTAGGGCAATTATAAGTGTGAGGAAAGTTTAAGCTCACATATTTAGAAACCAGATTTTTGTCGAGCCTGCGACTTTTGTCGCAGAAAGCTCGACATAGGGATAGTGATCCGGCGGCGGCGGCGTTAGCTAACTTCTTAAAAGCTTTATATTTTAGAAGGTGGAAGATCTGGATGCTTCATACTTTGTATATGGATGCCTCATGTTACGAAGTTTCCGTCAGTCACATGTCCAATGTCCTTGACCTCATTTTCATGGTTCAGTGACTACTTGAAAAAAAAGTTAAGATTTTTTGTAATGTTAAATTCTCTCTTATTATAAGTAATAGGATAACTATATTTGGTATGTGCGTACCTTGCAAGGTCCTCATGCCTGTCAGACAGTTTTCACTTGACCTCGACCTCATTTCATGGATCAGTGAACAAGGTTAAGTTTTGGTGGTCAAGTCCATATCTCAGATACTATAAGCAATAGGCCGAGTATATTCGGTGTATGGAAGGACTGTAAGGTGTACATGTCCAACTGGCAGGTGTCATCTGACCTTGACCTCATTTTCATGGTTCAGTGGTTATAGTTAAGTTTTTGTGTTTTGGTCTGTTTTTCTTATACTGTATGCAATAGGTCTACTCTATTTGGTGTATGGAATGATTGTAAGGTGTACATGTCTAGCTGGCAGGTGTCATCTGACCTTGACCTCATTTTCATGGTTCAGTGGTTATAGTTTAGTTTTTGTGTTTTGGTCCGTTTTTCTTATACTTTATGCAATAGGTCTTCTATATTTGGTGTATGGAATGATTGTAAGGTGTACATGTCCAACTGGCAGGTGTCATCTGACTTTGACCTCATTTTCATGGTTCAGTGGTCAAAGTTAAGTTTTTGAGTTTTGGTCTTTTTTCTTATACTATATGCAATAAGTCAACTATATTTGGTGTATGGAAATATTCTATGATGTACATGTCAGTCTCGCAGGTTTTATTTGACCTTGACCTCATTTTCACGGTTCATTGCTCAGTGTTAAGTTTATGTGTTTCAGTCTGTTTTTCTTAAACTATAAGCAATAGGTCAGCTATATTTGTTGTATGGAAGGATTGTAAGCTGTTCATGTCTGCCTGGCATGGTTCATCTGACCTTGACCTCATTTTCACGATTCATTGGTCAATGTTTAGTTTTCATGGTTAAGTCTGTTTCTTAGAAACTATAAGCAATAGGTCAACTATATTTAGTGTATTGAATGATTGTAAGGTGTACATGTATTTCTCGTTTGGTTTATATGACCTTGACTTCATTTTCTTGGATCATGTTAAGTTTATGTAATAGTTGTAGTAAAGCTTTCATTTAGGACTATCAACATAACATCAATGGTTAGTAAAGAAGGCGAGACATTTCAGCGTGTGCACTCTTGTTTATACTTCAATTTTAATTTTGTAAAATGAACGAAATTAAAAAAACATGAAATAAAGAAAAAGATCTTATTGAAATAATATTGCACGCTTACAGTGATGTAAGGAATGTTTTTATGCCCATTCCAAGCATGTTCGCCACAAGTGAGGGAGTTTTGTGGGTTTGAAAGGGAACCATGGCAGGGTAAAACCGAGGACTTTAAAATTGATGGCTGCTGTTTTACTACTAATCACACAGCATTAAGGAGTAAGTGTGTTCCTGCTGACTGTTGTGAACCCGCTCAGCATGTCAGTCCTCTACTAAGGAGGAATAAAATTCATCTTACATTAATATGTTCTCATCCTGAATATGCATTTAATTTGCCACTGGACATTAAGCAGCCATTTATCATCATCATCACCAAGAACCCACAGGGCATATAGTTTTTACTCCTTGTCATTTTCTTTATTTCATGGCAAAACTCTAGTTTTTAAAAAAATTTTAAATAATTTTCAGAAACATGACATTCCTCTTAGTGCCATTCCATGTCTTCAGTATAGAAAAGCAATGGACAGAGACCAGCCAGACAAGGACACAACGATTGTGGAACCAGCGGAAGACACAGAAAACCAAACCGTTCCAGTATTAAATGGAGGTTTGAAATATGCACTACTTGCTTACATCAACATCTTTTCGTCTCTGATCGATGGAAAGTTGTCTCATTTGCAATCATACCAAATCTTCTTAGTTTTTTATAAACTTTGTAAAAAGAATTTCTCTGTAAACATGGTAAAGAAACATTTTTTAGGACCATTAGAACGTTTTAAAATGGACTTTGAAAGAAGGAAAAAAACTTGTGGAAAATGAAAAATAGGAATAAAAGATTAAACAGATTAAAAGGTTCAAAATTAATTTAAATAAAATGTAAATCAAATGGCTGAAATGTTTTATTCGATGGAAAGACAATGAATTACATATTACATAATGTGTAAGTGAAATATTATTCTTGCAGTCATTTTGCCACAAAAAGAAGGGTTTTGTGCATAGTAGAAACTTTGGCAAGTTATAGGTAATCAACTAACCACTTTATGTATGTATAATTTCTAATAGTAGGGTTACCTCCTAGAAAATTGTGTACATTTTATTTGTAATTGCAGAAACATCCTCTCCCATCAAGGAGAATGGTATTTCTGAAGCAGAGTCAATTGGCGAATCCAGTGATGTTAGGGAAACTTCAAATGATGACACAACTGACCTTGATAGGACCTTGACCTTTGATGATAAAGTAGGTGAAAATAGCGGTACAGATGTGACACAGTCTGGTGAAACAACAAAACTACAACCAGGACCACCTGTCAAAATAGAGAGTGCTGAACAGAGGAAGAAAGAAAATTCTCTGTGTAAGATAGATAGGTTTTGAAACACTTTGGTGTCAAGCAATAATTTTGTTATGCCCTTGCTACAGAGAAGGGGGCATACAGTTTTACCCTTGTCCGTCTGTCTGTACATCCCAAAATTAGTTTCTGTTCCCTAACTTTAGATTGCCTCAAATAAATGTTGTGAAACTTATACACAATGCTTATTACCACCAAACACAGTTCAAGTTTGAATTTGGGTGTTGTCACTTTCCCTGTTCATGTCCATTTATGAATTGAAAAATTGCTAAATTTGCTGTTTCCGCATAATTTTTATTTTGCCTCAACCAAATGTTATAAAACTTATAAACAATCTGTATTACCACCAAACACAGTTCAGGTTAGAATTTGGGTGGCGTCACTTTCGCCGTTTTTTAGTTATGTCCCTTAAGCTTTGTAAATTGAAAAATTGCAGTGCTTGCACTAAATTTACAATTGGGGCATCTGTGTCCCATTGACACATTCTTCATTTATTTTTGGAAGGTGAGAATAACTAAAGCCATATAATGAACAAGAGCTTGTGAAAGTGGGTCATGATTAAGTGTTTACAGAAAATTAATCTGCCATTGGCATGATCTTGTTATCATAGCTGTATCAGGCATATATTTTTATTTGTCAGTCAGTTTAAAAAATAAGATTTGAAAATTACGTATTTATTGCTTGTTTATTATCCTCTACATCATCATTTGTCTTCACAGCTGCAGATGATGTGCTAGAATATTGTAAAAACCTGTTTGAATTCAAGACAGTCACGGTGAAAAAATTTAAGTAAGTATACGTTATAATCAAAGTCTACCTGTAATAAAAACCGTTGAGTGCTATTCCATTGAAATGTATGTGGGAGGGTAGGAAGGTTAATTATTGAATGTGGGTCATGGGTCTTTTTTCAGTATGCCTCTATTACCATTATGCAAAACTATCTAAAAACTGGTTCTTGGTTGTAGCGATATTTTGAAAGTCTCTTCCTACCCTTTCACATACATTTTAATGGAATAGCCCTGATAGGAAAAACAATAAAAGACAATTTGGCTCTATATTCTATGTTATCCTCCCATTCTATGATGTTTTGAAAGCAATACTCACCTATAGCTACCGCAAGCCACACAATTTTCAAATGTAGCCAAACCTATGGATATTCACAGAGCTGTTTGAATTTTTTTAATTATTAGTAATTCAATATAACTGGATTTATTATTATTCATTGGATACAATTTTTGTAAATTCATGTGAAAGGGGAACCACAAATGTAACTGTTCAACAAATAAAATAAATCTATATGGTTGTATGCAGACCATACAGACTTTGGCAAAACCACAAAATCAACTATTCACAAAAATGCAAATTTTCCTCAATCCACAAAAAAAATCGTTAACCCGCAAAAATAAATGAATCCACAGTAACTGATTTTCTTTTAATTAACAGAACATGGAAGGAGAGGCGGAAGCATTTAAATGAAATGAGGAAACAAACCAGACCTGCATTGGTAAGTGTATTTAAATGCAGATTATTTCTTTGTTCTACATTTCACTGTTTCAGCCAACATGTGTTAAGAGTTGTTTCCACACAAGGGAAGTTTGTTTTTACATATAGTACACGCAGGATCATTCTCTTAAAAATCAATTTGTAAAAACTAGTTGGATATACTTTACATGACATCAAGGGCAACCTTGTTTTATTTACCTGTCATTAAAAATCCATATATCTTAGAAAATGTTCTTATAGAAACTGTTATTTAAACCTCCCTTGGGAAACTCATATAAGTTTTTCAGAAATTTAAAACCTCTCTTTATTAATTCATAGGAAGTTAATAGACTTATAAGGATTGGAAAAATGGAAATATCTGTAATAGATAGAGGCAATATTGGCAATATCTTTGCAAATTAATCTTTCTTACCGGTAAATGCAAGTGTCATTTAAGTGCAAATGTATTGTTTGAATTTGGACTCAACATGTGAAGCTGTTTGTTGATCATGCTCTATGCTCCTGATATTATGGGGGGCCTCGGTGGCCGAGTGGTCTAAGTAGTTACTACTGTAATCACTAGCCAGTCAACACTGAGGTTGTGAGTTCGAACCCCGCTCGTGTGGGTGCACTCGACTCCAATCTTAATTGACTAGGATTGTCAGTTTTCCTATCGAAGGTCGGTGGTTTTCTCCGGGCACTCCGGCTTCCTCCACCAATAAAACTGGCCGCCACGAAATAGCCCAAAAGCGGTGCTTAAAAGTGGCGTTAAAACACCAAAAATCAAATCAAATCAAATCCTGATATTGTGTATTTAATTTATATCAATTATGTGCATTGACTTTTACTTTATTTAAAGCCTGCCAATACTACACTGATTACATGCTCTATAACTGCTGAAGATGGAAGTGAAAAACCTAAGAAAAAAGGTAAGACCCTGTCTTCAAGTTGTTTGATTTATTACATCATTACCCATATAAACTACAAAAAAAACAAATTGGTAAAAAAAACAATTCAATTTGTTTATGTTTGGATTTCTATTTGAAACAAATTTTTCTGGGGTGTTTTCTTATAACAAAGTACAGCTTGTCATGTGATTTGGAAACCCATCAGTGGTCAAACAAGAAATCTTTTTCTTGAAATTGGGTAAGATGAATTGATTCCTTCTGCATCCTGGATATTTATTAAACGAAATGGACTTTTCGAATCTGTAGTATTACTAAGAGTTGTAAAGACATGTTTTTATACCCTTTTATGTTTAGGTGTAAACAGAAAATTGACGATCAAAGGTTTGTTCAATTTACAACAAAACTTGTATTATTTCGATGTAATCACTTTTGGTTTATTTTGAATAAACCTGTAAAATAGTGCCCAAGAAAGCTTGATCTGTAGGATATCCTACTTCTTCTATCTATATGATTATATGCAAATTTTATTCAAATAGTAAAATGAACTTAAGTTCCAAAACCAGTGTTTAACAGTTGAGAAATCAGAACTTCTGGTTTGCAAATGAACAAACAGTAATCACAAAAATCCTGAAAGTAACTAATAAAAACTTCACAAATCAGTAAAGTTCAATTAAAAACAAAATTTGGATTTTTTTTTTTATTTTGGCGAAATAGTTGACAGGGAAGAAAATGACTAAGGGAACCCAGTGCATATTTGTTTATCAATATTTTATTTTATAATTTTTCAGCTGATGTCAGCAACAAGTATTAGGAATAATTTTATCAATTCAGTTCAGTAACAGATAATTTCCTTTTCAGAATTTGTTTTGAATCCTGTAGGAAAATCTCCTGTCTGTATTTTACATGAGTATGCTCAACACACCTTGAAGGTGCAACCAAGATATTCCTTCCAAGAATTAGGTAAGAAGAACTAAATAAAAGTTCAAATGGAAAGTTCTGTTAAAATGACATTCTTATGTTTAAGTCTTCAAACAAAAATATTGATAAGAAATTTTCCAATTTAAATAAAGGTTCCAGATTTGTTGGTTTATTTTTCATTACATTAAACCATTAGAGAAGAGACTTCTTCTGAAAAATTAATTGATTGGTTGATGGATCAGTTTTTATTATCAAGTATAGAAAATTTACAGAATATACAATATAAAAATAAGATGATGTGGTATGATTGCCAATGCAATGAGACAACTCTCCACAAGAGACCAAATGACACAAAATTAACAAATATAAGTCACTGTACGGCCTTCAACAATGAGCAGAGCTCATACCACATAGTCAGCTATAAAAGGCCCCAAAATGACAAATGTATGTATATATTGTATGTGATACTACTATATCTATAACAACTTCTGTATCGATTAATTACTATTTTTACAGAAAATGCTCAGAATCCATATTGTGCCACAGTCCTTATAAACAACATAGAATACGGTAAAGGGTATGCCAGCAGTAAAAAGATGGCCAAAGTTAATGCAGGTTTGTCATGTTTATATAAAAGCTGAAAACTGTAAAGAGAAAAGAAGTACCGGGAATTCGTTTTTCTTCATGGGTACCAATTTTTTTATGGATATTTGATTTCGTGGTTTTGCTGAAATCTATATACATGTCTTTTAACAATTTATTCTTCCTTGAACATTTAAGTTAGTGGTAAACCTTTACAAATGAAATCAACATGAATGGGTACCCCATGCATAAAAATTTATCCACAGTACTTGTTTCAACAGAAATGTGAAGAGATGGGATTTATTGAAACTCTAAAAAATTGCAGTTCAAGTACTGATATAAAACTGTCAGCAAATATTAGAAACTAAGATATTATAATGAGATAATTGACTTAATTATCCAGTTTTTGTCGAGCCTGCGACTTTTGTCGCAGAAAGCTTGACCTAGGGATAGTGATCCGGCGGCGGCTGCGTTAGCTAACTTCTTAAAAGCTTTATATTTTAGAAGGTGGAAGATCTGGATGCTTCATACTTTGTATATGGATGCCTCATGTTACAAAGTTTCCGTCAGTCACATGTCCAATGTCCTTGACCTCATTTTCATGGTTCAGTGACTACTTGAAAAAAAAGTTAAGATTTTTTGTAATGTTAAATTCTCTCTTATTATAAGTAATAGGATAACTATATTTGGTATGTGTGTACCTTGCAAGGTCCTCATGCCTGTCAGACAGTTTTCACTTTACCTCGACCTCATTTCATGGATCAGTGAACAAGGTTCAGTTTTGGTGGTCAAGTCCATATCTCAGATACTATAAGCAATAGGTCTAGTATATTTTGTGTATGGAAGGACTGTAAGGTGTACATGTCCAACTGGCAGGTGTCACCTGACCTTGACCTCATTTTCATGGTTCAGTGGTTATAGTTAAGTTTTTGTGTTTTGGTCTGTTTTTCTTATACTGTATGCAAAAGGTCTACTATATTTGGTGTATGGAATGATTGTAAGGTGTACATGTCTAGCTGGCAGGTGTCATCTGACTTTGACCTCATTTTCATGGTTCAGTGGTCAAAGTTAAGTTTTTGAGTTTTGGTCTTTTTTTCTAATACTATATGCAATAGTTCAACTATAGTTGGTGTATGGGAATATTTTATGATCTATATGTCAGTCACGCAAGGTTTATTTGACCTTGACCTCATTTTCAAGGTTCATTGCTCAGTGTTAAGTTTTTGTGTTTTGGTCTGTTTTTCTTAAACTAAAAGCAATAGGTCAACTATGTTTGTTGTATGGAAGAATTGTTAACTGTACATGCCTGCCTAGCATGGTTTATCTGATCTTGACCTCATTTTCATGGTTCATTGGTCAATGTTTTGTTTACTTGGTTAATGTTAAGTTTATGTGACAGTTGTAATAAAGCTTTATATTTAGGACTATCAACATAATATCAATGATTAGTAAAGAAGGCGAGACATTTCAGCGTGTGCACTCTTGTTTTTTTTTATCTGTAGAAAAATTAAGAATAAAGAGTAAGGAAAATTATTATGGCCTGGGTAAGTCACAAAAACATGTGATATTGATTTATGTGTGCATGGCACATGTTATTGACATCTACCCTGTTGATGGGTAACAAATGATAGTTTTGTAGAAAGATTGTATTAGTTACATGAGTTATGTATCTAATTGAAAAGAAAAAAAAAACAGAAATGGATGTAAAGAGATTATTAAAAATCTAAAAGTTTTACTAAGTAACGTCCATCTTTTTGTTAGGTGCTAGTCGAAACATCCTTCAAGACTTTCCAGTATTTATAAGGTCAATATATTACAGTTTGAATTTCATATTTCATAAATGTATTTTAATAAATATATTTTCAGCAAAAGCAACATTGAGTATCCTGATTCCACAAATGAATAAAGTGAATGAGGAGATGGGAAGGGAAGAAGATCTCTCAGTAAGTTGTAATAAATGAGGATCTGAATGGGGGTCCCTTCATTTCTGTATTCTTCAAAATTTTGGATCATTGATTTTATGCCCCCGCCGTAGCGGAGGGGGCATTAAGTTTTACCCTTGTCCGTCTGTACGTCCGTCCGTCTGTACATCCCAAAGTTGGTTTCCACTCTCTTACTTTAGATTGCCTCAACCAAATGTTATGAAACTTATACACAATGCTTATTACTACAAAATACAGATCAAGTGTGAATTTTGGTGGCGTCACTTTAACAGTTCTAGAGTTATGCCCCTTTACAAATGGAAAAATTGCTGAATTTTTCGGTTCCGTTCTCTAACTTAAGTTTGCCTCTACCAAATATTATGAAACTTATACAACATGCTTATTACCACAAAATACAGATCAAGTTCAAATTTTGTGGGTGTCACTTTTATTGTTCTAGAGTTATGCCCCTTTACAAATGGAAAAATTGCTGAATTTTTTGTTTCCGTTCTCTATCTTAAGTTAGCCTCAACCAAATGTTATGAAACTTATACACAATGCTTATTACCACAAAATACAGATCAAGTTTGAATTTTGGTGGTATCACTTTTATTGTTCTAGAGTTATGCCCTTTACAAATGGAAAAAATTGCTGAATGTTTTGTTTCCGTTTTCTAACTTAAGTTTGCCTCAACCAAATGCTATGAAACTTTTACACAATGCTTATTACCACAAAATACAGATCAAGTTTGAATTTTGGTGGTATCACTTTAACCGTTCTAGAGTTATGCCCTTTACAAATAGAAAAATTGCTGAATTTTTTGTTTCCGTTCTCTAACTTAAGTTAGCCTCAACCAAATGTTATGAAACTTATACACAATGCTTATTACTACAAAATACAGATCATGTTTGTTTTTTTGGGGTGTCACTCTTATTGTTATAGAGTTATGCCCCTTTACAAATGGAAAAATTGCTGAATTTTTCGTTTCCATTCTCTAACTTAAGTTTGCCTCAACCAGATGCATAATTGTTATTACCACAAAAATCAGATCAAGTACAAATTTGTGTAGCGTCACTATGACTTTTTCAGTTATGTCCCTTTATAATTTTATATGATAGATAAGTGGGGGCATCATCTGTGTCCCATGGACACATTCCCCATTTATTTCTCTAGTCTCTATACTTTTTGCCCTTTCAGAAATTATTGCGAGCATTCATTATTGCCATTTTCACATGACCAACCAAAATTCTGGATTTATTAACTGCAAATATAGGAAAAGTTGGATACAGATACACAGCCCTTTATAGCTTGCTGATCGGTGTGAGCCAACTCTCCGTGTTGAAGGCCGTACCTTGACCTATAATGGTTTACTTTTATAAATTGTAACTTGGATGTAGAGTTGTCTCATTGGCACTCATACCACATCTTCCTATACAGCTGCTATATCTATCTACAGATATCAGAACACCAGTTCTTACTTATTATTGTGATACTTGCACAGACAATTAATTTCGCATCAATAAAAATCTCACGATAATTTCTGAATTTTAAGTAACAATTAATTTCCTGCACCTAATATTCTGGTTCCAATTTATACCTAAATTTATCTGATACTCTCTCCATGAAAACTTGATGAGGGATTTTATTTTGAATTAGTGAGTTGTGTTCATACTGATGCTGAATGAAACTTGAATAGAAGTTGTTTCATCACAAGTATGAAAAATAACGTGGTGCTAGACATTTTAAAACATTTATTTATATACAGCAAATTAAATGCCTTCTGACATTCTTTTAATGGGGGGGGGAGGTGTTTCATTACTGGATAAGCAAAAGATTCAGTAAATTTAATTTATAAAATTATGATTTTGTTTCCTTCTTCATTGGCACACTGGGTAGGTTAGTTCTCTGCTTTAGTTTCTTTTATTGTAATCAAAATTTAGATTTAACAAAGATGCATTTTAGTTATATCTGTTTTTTCATTACTTGCAGTTCTTTGATGAAATCAAAATTGAAGACCCCAGAGTGTCAGATTTATGTACCAAGACAGGTCAACCTAGTCCATATCAGCTACTGCTAGAGTGTCTCAAAAGGTCAGTCATCAAAAGTAGGAGGTTCATAAAGGGTTAACATTGGCCCTAAGATTTTATTGAATTGTTTAATTGTCAAAAATACTTAACTTTTTACCCAGAAAAAGTTGTTATATTATTGTTAATACAAAAAAAATCTTTATGGCACATCATATTTGATTATAGAAAAATTCCCAAGGGTACTTTTAAAAGCTTTAGCGCACTAACTTACTGTTCAAGCGCACTGGTGAAATTGATATACAAAAGAAAGGGATAATTAGTTCTACATGTATGTAGGAAAATTATAGAAAAGTTTGTCAAAATATGGAAAATCAATGAAATTAGCATTTGAAGATCAAAGGAAACAACGAAATCACTTAAATAGGTGATAACTGAATTTATCAAATCACTGAAATAGGTGATAATGAAATCACTTGTTTAAGTAGTACCCCTGACTGATTATGCATTATTTGTGTTGAAAATTTTTGCGTCTATGGAATCATCATAAGCTTAGGCACTTTTTACTTTAGTTACAGAATATTTTGGATATTTAAATAGTGGCCAAGGTTTTCCTAAAGCTTTTCCATTGGAAAAATGCACAAAATAATTAAGTTTGACAATATCTCCCAAATCCTGATTTTGGACCCTATAATGACATAATAATGGCATGAATGTACTCTCAAGAAGAGGTTTGTTTTAACTAGCATTACGGATTTAAAATCAACCCATTTAAGAACAAAAATGAGGCTTTCTTGATATTTTATGATAAAGTTGAAATTCAAGGCCAAATTTTGCCAAAAGCCAACTTTGTACTTTATGGAACATTGCCAAGTGTAAAATGTTCAAATACTTTGTCACGAGTTAAATCAGATCCAAATATTTTAAATGTCTAGGCTTGGTGTGTTTGATTAGATATTGACATTTTTAAGAAACTTCATATAAAGAGACTTAATAAACATGAACATCTGTCAGAAAATGTTCTGTTTACAGTTACCAGATATTAGTGTGTTTGATTAACCATCGCATTGTAATCATGCATAGATTTCTTTAAGCACTCATACTAAGCTAGATTACACTGGAGGTCACTCAGACTCAAATTTTATTCTCTGTAGTGGGAAATATATAATAATAGGCTGTTGTCAGAAGAAGTAAATGTACTGCAGCTGAACAGACTTGATATATATATGATTTAAAAAAAAACAACAATGAATTTAAATTTATGGAGTAAAGTACAATTGGATGCTTCACATGCTTGTTTAACATTCAGTGGTAATATTTCATGCATGTTCAGGACGAAAAAAAACCAAACAGCACTTGTGACGGGATCTTGGTAACACTTAAGGGAATATACTCCAAAATCTCTCAAAATAAATTATGAATAAACACCATTAGATATGAAATGCAAGCTATTTCAGATTAAAAGAGAACAGCATGAAAGTGTGTTCAAGAGTTTTAGTATGAAAAAAAGTTTCCAATTTTGATGCATGTATCAGGATTTTGTTACAATTTTATTTAAAGGTAAATATTCGAATTTTCTTTTACTTTCAGAAATTATGGCATGGGAGATACTCATGTGAAGACAGATGTAACACCTCTAAGACACCAGAAGAGTGAATACACACTGACAGTTGGAAAGCATAGTGTTACAGTAAGTACAATCTGATTTAAATACAGATTCAGTGTCCAATCTTGTAAGGAAGCAAAGCTTGGACACAGGATCAGTATTTTAATCAGATTGATAGTAAGTAGACAAAAGTTTAAAAAAACGTGGGTTTCCTTCAGAATTGTCATACAAATAAATACTTGGTTCCAATAACCCAAGAGTAATCGGTTTTCTGTCATGGTTTAAAATTTACAGATTTTATAGTCATAAAGTTTTTAATAGTCAAGCACATAGCTGATTATTTTTGTAAGGTCTATCTTAATTCTGAAGTAAATTAAAGATTCTACACAACAATGGCATTTTTTTCTATCTTAAATCTATTTAATGTCAAAGTTCAACAGAAATTATAAAAGAACTTGTGGAAAGTAGGTATGTCAACGAGTACTCGAGTATTCGAGTATCGCTCGGTAGTACCGAGTATCGAATACCAAAACGATACTCGACTAATCGATCTCCTGTTAGAATATTGCTGTCTTCTTTATTAGACCCCTACCAACGAAGTTTGCACTCTTTCCATCTGTCTGTTTGTCTGTCCATCCGTCAGTTTGTCAAATCAGTTTTCCACACTTTTTTTCTTCATGCTTGAAGATATTGATTTGATATTTGGTGTATTGTTTTATCATGACAAGTTACAGATCAAATTCGAATTTTGTTCCGGTCTGATGATTTTGTGCAGAGTTATGGTCCTTGGACTTAGAAAAATTCACTCAAATAATCAGTTTTCCACACTTTTTTTCTTCATGCTTGAAGATATTGATTTGATATTTGGTGTATTGTTTTATCATGACAAGTTACAGATCAAATTCGAATTTTGTTCCGGTCTGATGATTTTGTGCAGAGTTATGGTACTTGGACTAAGAAAATTCACTCAGTTTTCCACACTTTTTATACGACCGCAAAAAAATTTTGTGGTCGTATATTGGTATGACGTTGGCGTCGTCGTCGTCATCCGGCGTCGTCGTCCGAAGACACATTGGTTTTCGCACTCTAACTTTAGTTTAATTGAATGGATCTTTTTGATATTTGACCATAAGGTTAAATACCACAAAAGGAAGGTTGGGATTGATTTTGGGGGTTATGGTACCAACAGTTAAGGAATTAGGGGCCAAAAAGGGGCCAAAAATAAGCATTTTCTAGTTTCCAGACAATAACTGTGGAACGGTGTATGGATCTCTCTGAAATTATACTACAAGTTTCCATACCACCAAGGATGGTTAGGATTTGCTTTGGGGGGTTATGGCTCAAACAGTTTAGGATTTAGGGGCAAAAAAAAGGGGGAAAAACAAGGTTGTCCTGGTTAATGGACAAATACTGTAGTACAAAACATAATTTAAAGCAGTGTAAGGGAGATAAATCAAATACATCATTGAAATTATCTCCCTTACACTGCTTTTAAATTATGTATAAAGTAATGGTTAATGAACAATAAAGATAATTTAAAACAGTGTAAGGGAGGTAATCCAAATACAACGTTTTGGTTACTTCCCTTACACTGCTTTTAAATTATGTTTAAAGAAATGCATATTTATAAAGGAAGACCAGTAAAAATATCTGCAAATGTTGCATCTTTTTTTTTTACAAAAAAATCCATATGAAAGATTTGACACTATATTTTTAATTCTATTATAAAATAGATTAAGTTAGCACTATGGTAAATTTAAATGGGTAATTATGGTTGCCAACTCCATTGGAAATTTGAATTGAGATTATGGCCATATCTTGAGGGAAAGAATTTTTTGGGGGAAAAAAAGGGGGGGGGGGATAAAAAGAAATTGTGGGGGGTCAATTTTTTCTCATTTCAGATTTCAGAAATTAAAAAGAATTATTCTTCAAATATTATTTTTTTTTCAAATTTCAAATGTTGAAAAATTTCAAGAAGTAATCTTTAATTGCACAGTATGGCGCATTAGATTTGTAAAATCTTTGATCACATTTATTTATTTGTTATGCCGAATCTAACAGTGTATTTAGATTTTTAATTTTGGGTCCAGTTTTCAAATTGGTCTACATTAAGGTCCAAAGGGTCCAAAATTAAACTTTGTTTGATTTTAGCAAAAATTGAATATATGAGGTTCTTTGATATGCTGAATCTAAACGTGTATTTAGATTTTTGATTTTTGGCCCAGTTTTCAAGTTGGTCCAAATTGGGGTCCAAAATTAAACTTTGTTTGATTTCAACAAAAATTGAATATATGGGGTTCTTTGATATGCTGAATCTAACCATGTATTTAGATTTTTTATTTGTCAACCCCGTTATCAAATTGGTTCATATTGAGGTCAAAAGGGTCCAAATTTAACTTTGTTTGATTTCATCTAAAATTGAATTATTGGGGTTCTTTGATATTCCAAATCTAACCGTGTATTTAGATTTTTAATTTTGGGTCCTGTTTTTTAAATTGGTCTACATTAAGGTCCAAAGGGTCCAAAATTAAACTTAGTTTGATTTTAACAAAAATTGAATTCTTGGGGTTCTTTGATATGCTGAATCTAAACATGTGTTTAGATTTTTGATTATGGACCCAGTTTTCAAGTTGGTCCAAGATAGGGTCCAATATTTAAACTTTGTTTGATTTCAACAAAAATTGAATATATGGGGTTCTTTGATATGCTGAATCTAAACATGTATTTAGATTTTTGATTATGGGCCCAGTTTTCAAGTTGGTCCAAAATGGGGTCCAAAATTAAACTTTGTTTGATTTCAACAAAAATTGAATATATGAGGTTCTTTGATATGCTGAATCTAACCATGTATTTAGATTTTTTATTTGTGGACCCCGCTATCAAATTGGTTCATATTGAGGTCAAAAGGGTCCAAAATTAAACTTTGTTTGATTTCATCAAAAATTGAATTATTGGGGTTCTTTGATATGCCAAATCTAACCGTGTTTTTAGATTTTTAATTTGGGTCCCGTTTTTTAAATTGGTCTTCATTGAGGTCCAAAGGGTCCAAAATTAAACTTAGTTTGATTTTAACAAAAATTGAATTCTTGGGGTTCTTTGATATGCTGAATCTAAACATGTGTTTAGATTTTTGATTATGGGCCCAGTTTTCAAGTTTTTCCAAGTTGGGGTCCAAAATTAAACTTTTTTTGATTTCAACAAAAATTGAATATATGGGGTTCTTTGATATGCTGAATCTAACCATGAATTTAGATTTTTTATTTGTGGGCCCCGCTATCAAATTGGTTCATATTGAGGTCAAAAGGGTCCAAAATTAAACTTTGTTTGATTTCATCAAAAATTGAATTATTGGGGTTATTTGATATTCCAAATCTAACCGTGTATTTAGATTTTTAATTTTAAGTCCCGTTTTTTAAATTGGTCTACATTAAGGTCCAAAGGGTCCAAAATTAAACTTAGTTTGATTTTAGCAAAAATTGAATTCTTGGGGTTCTTTGATATGCTGAATCTAAACATGTGTTTAGATTTTTGATTATGGGCCCAGTTTTCAAGTTGGTCCAAGTTGGGGTCCAAAATTAAACTTTGTTTGATTTTAACAAAAATTGAATATATGGGGTTCTTTGATATGCTGAATCTAACCATGTATTTTGATTTTGGACATTGGACCATAATAGGTAAATTAAAAAAAATCAAATTCTTAGACCACATTCTTTCTGTGTCAGAAACCTATGCTGTGTCAAATATTTAATAACAATCCAAATTCAGAGCTGTATCAAGCTTGAATGTTGTGTCCATACTTGCCCCAACTGTTCAGGGTTCGACCTCTGCGGTCGTATCAAGCTGCGCCCCAGCGAAGCATTTTATTTTTGTCATGCTTGAAGATATTGATTTGATAATTGGTATATAGTTTTATCATGACAAGTTATAGATCAAGTTAGCATTTTGTTCCTGTACAATGAATTTTTAACCGGTAGGGGACTTTGTATTGCCATGCAATACTCTTAGAATGCTTGTTTAAAATATATTCTAATTATATCTTCTTGAGAACTTCTTTCGGAAAATTAAATAGGCATCACTGATTAATCATACAAGTAAATAAAATGCATTTTGTTTCGAATGCTTCTAAATTGTCATTTAAAATACCTCTGAAAATATGTGGGCTTTACCTAGGCTAACACTATAAACATGTTAAACTAAATATGTATTAGCCATTCTGTCACATTGGTACAGTCAGAGCAAATATTTTCGTCTGCAAGACTGTAATTTACAAAGTTGCAAAACCGACTCCCCAATAACAGTTGACAAGAAAATGTTTCCAAATAAAACAATTTCGTTGCATCCTCTGGTGACCCTCAGTGAATAGTTAAACTTCTAATCCTTACGCCTATGTAAGCATTAAATTTGTTTTCTTAATGATTACCAAATACTATTGTTTGATATGGTTTTTCCTTGTTATAAATTTGAAATAGGCGTTCATTAAATTATATTGACTAGATTATTGTTTTTTTACATAATTAGTACTTGTAGGTAATGAACTTTTAATTATGGTTTGTGATTCCTTGTCCCAGATACTTATGTAGATGGCTTTTTGTTCGCTGAACAACAAACCACAGAATGTAAAATACGAAAATTTGTGTTTGTGTGTTGTAGATATATTCCCGAGCGAGTTCTCGAGTATCGCTCGATAAAACTAACGAGTACTGGATTCGTTATTGATCACCGAGTTTACATCCCTGGTAGAAAGTATTAGGAATTATAATAGTTTTAAAAAATGGTGAGATGGTATGCCAACTTTCCTGCATTATGTAGCTCATTACTTTTACATGCTGTTATCTATTTTTAATTACAGATTGTATGTAAAAATAAAAGAGAGGGAAAACAGAGAGCAGCACAAGCAATGCTACAGGTAAATAACATATGTGTTTGTTTGATTGTTGGGGTTTATTGTTAATGAATGTAATGATATAATGTCAAATGTAATATATTAAAATGTGAAAAGTGCAATAATGACACAATACATAGTAAGGTCATAAAAATACCATATTGACAAATTTTAATTCTTTTTTATTGTTTTACACATGTTTCTTTATTGTTATGAGCATCCACTAAATTAAACTGTGACCATATAAACTAGAACATTGAATGTCTGTTCTAGAGGGAGTAATTTTTCTCTTCCAAAAGAAATGAACAGTTCAGTACAAACATTTGGCATTGGTGATTGGTTATTTATGTTGTTGGGTTACTATCTAGTTGATTTATACCCCACATTTCTTATACTCATTATCATGGATTTTCACTTTATACTAAAAATATGGTGTATCAAATAGTCTTCAATATAAAAAAAAAACCCCACTTCTAATGCATTGAATCTCACAGCACAGTTTTCAACAGTTCCTAAATGTAGATCTTGTACTTATATGGTATAAAGCATGTACAGTTCCGAACAGTCCAGATAAAAGTTGCAGACGTAATCTCCACAGTTGACAATAGCTATTTTTAGAAAACATAATGACTACCTTTCTGTTGTTTTGGGTCTTAACATTAAGAGATGAGGATTCAAAACAAAATCCATATCACAGTTTTCTCAAGCTCTTATTTTTTATATTTCAGCAACTTCATACACACATTACTAGTCTAGGATCTTTACTACGTTTGTATGGACAAACAACAGGGAAATTATTCAAAGATAAGAAGGTTAGTTTGAGTGTATATACTTTTAAGTTTTCTTCATATTTAGAGTTATTGCATTTATTATTGGGTGGAATTCAACTAATTAAATAGATATAGCTCTTTTCATGTCAACTGCTGAATACCATTAAAGATGTTATGAAAATAATTTAGTACAAGCTTAAGCTTGGATTTACATAATATCTGCAAAGACTTAGCAACTATTCCTTGTCACGATCACACAGACAAATGACTTCACTTAAAAACAGATGTGGGACCCAGGGTAAGCACTTTGGAAACTCAATTATGGGTGGGTATAAATAGAATATATTTTTACAATGAAATTAATTATAAAATTGGCTTTTATAAATGTTTATCCCATTTTCAAAGTATCATCCCTGGTACCATGTATATTTTTAAGGAACAGGTGGAAATAGCTTGTTAAGTCTTAAATGGTTTAGCTATCTCCTAATAAAGGACAACGTGTTGAATGTGGGGGTCATAACTTTTTCAGCATGAAACAGGCATAATGAAGAGAATGTCACAACAAATAATTTCAACCTTTTAATAGGTACATACTTTAGTTCAAAGGTCTAGGGTCAGGGTGAAAACCTTGTATTATTTTTGAATTACTTTATCAGCTAGGCCTTGTTAGTGTGAGTCTTTATCAAACTTGGAATAATTTATCATTAAGAGATAAAGACTATCTAGTAGTTTATTTTTACCTTTACTGATTGATTGATTCCAAATGCCACCTCAGTTTCTTATGGCTATATCATGGCCAATAGAGTGAAATTAAAAAAGATAAATAGCAAAACAATTATCATGATTATATTCTCTGCATAACTGTATGATTTTGACTTGCAGAAGGAGGAAGAGTCTATCACTGAACTTCAAACACAGACACATTCCAACAAACCAAATACAGCTTTACTAGATAAACTAAGAAAGGAAATGGTCAAATTACAAGCACAGAGAGTAAGTATATGTAGTTTTATGATCATTATTTTAAAAACTTGAAATACCGTTATTAAATGCATTAGAGATACATAGAGACCTTTGGTGAGTCCACTGATTGAGATTAAAAGGGGTAAGGGTAAAGATCAAGTTCAACCAAGCCACTTGTTTATTTGCCTATCCCTAGTCTGTAACCACATTATTGGTTGTCTTTTGTCATATCTAAATGGTAATTTTTCTTGCCATAGGCCTGCAACCAGAATGCAAGATATAGGGATTAAAATTTTGGCTTCCCCACAAACTAAGTATAAAGCTTCATAGTTTAGACAGTAGCAGACTTGGATGCTTCATAGCTTGTATGTGGTTTCATCTGACCTTGACTTTTTTGCATTAATTATTGGACAATGTTTAAATTTTGTGGTTTTGTCTATTTTTTCAGATACTATAATCAATATATTTGGTTTTGATAATAGTTAAAAGGTTAACATGGCTGTCTGGCAGGTTTCATATGACCTTGACCTCATTTTCATGGTTGATTGGTCAATATTAAGGTGTGTTTGTCTGTCAATGCCTAATTGACTAGGATTGTCCGTTTTCTTACTGAGGTCGTGGTTCTCTCCTTGCACTCCAGCTTCCTCCACCAATAAAAATTAATCACCATGAAATAGCATAATAGTGCTGAAAATGGCGCTAAACACCAATTAATCAATCAATCAATCAATCTTGTCTCAATGGTTGATATAAAAGATCAGAGAAAATGTATTAAACTTATATTTTTTTAATCAGATCTCCATTCACGTAATATTTGCTACTTTTCGTGTCTGTATTAATAACCTAATTATCAAAATGTTGTTTCATAAATTAATCTTATGATATTATTGATATTTTTTCCAGAAATCGTTAACTTCTAAGGGAAGTTTGCTGATAGACAAAGTGCCAGGTGGTGTGACGAGTTTGGATCTGTGAAAAGTCGGGACTGTGATAAGAGTGTTGTCATGGAAACAATGCAATATATTAAAAGAACACACTGAAAGAAGATTTTTTTATTAAACTGTAAACCAAAACCACTTTATAAAGTTTTACCAAATGATCTAATAGAGGTGATGTCAGAATATGTTGTGACAAATTTTTTAGGGACTTTTATTTGAGTTAATTTTTGGTTGTAATAGATATAAAAAACACAAATACAAATTAAAAATCTTCATACTTCTTATGCATATATTTCTTCTAGGGAACTGTTTTATTTGAATATTAAATTGCAAAAAAGTAAAGTTTTTTTCACATGAAAAGCCTAATAAAAAAAATATTTTGACAGAACTTTGGCCATTTTCCTTTTAAAAAGAATTTTGGTTGTAGGTTGATTTTGAGAGTTACTTCCTTTCCTCCCCTGATTCAAGATTGACAGTCAAATAATTTATGTTTAAGTCAGGTTTTTTTTTATCTGTAAAAAGTTACACTGGTTCAGTTCCTTCCTATCTCCCACATCCATTTCAATGGAATATCCTTGTACAGGATTTATTGACTTTTTTATACAGTTCAAAGGTTGATTTGGGTTTAGAGTGAACACCTCAAGAGTATATTAGAATTTAACACCATTGAATTTCATGGGTTAAAATCAATATTTTTTAAACAAGGTAAATGGCATGAAGCCAAATTTATTAACTCCTACTGTTCAAAGGGATAAACAGACCTTTCAATTTTCAAGGCCAAATATTTATTTTCTAGGTTAATATACCTATTTTAACAGAATTGTAATTTGACTGATACAGGTGTTTTTCAAATGACCATAAATATGCTTGTGTTACAAATGAAACGCTTATTGATCCCATAGGAATGCCTCTATAAAATGAAGTGTTTTTTTTCTAAATGGAAGTATTTGGTGTCTATGATATGTAGTAAATCCCGTACTATGATGTAAAATTTATATATTTTATACTTGCTTAAGGGGAGATAATTTTCTTTTTTCCTGAAAGGCTCATGTGGGCAGTTGTCTCCCCAATATATCATGAGTGACTACGATTTCTACCAATTTTTAAATCAATCAGTATTAAATTTGGCTTCGTTTACTTCTTAAGAATGTCCATAACCATTAACAATTTGGTATGAAAAAAAGTAAGTATTAAGTCAAATCTTACATGTAAATCCATTATAAAATATAAAATTTCAATCCTGGTATCTATGATGAGTTTATTTGTATCTAAACTACGCGCAAACAATGTTATCTAAATTTTAACTGGTTTATGCAATTTAATACAAGTTTTTATGGTATATTTGATAGGATTTTTTTCCTAATTCGTTTTTAAAAAGAAAAAAAGATCTGAGAAATAACCTTTATTTTCAGCTGCTTTAAGCATCCAGTGACAATTAATAGCAGCTAGCTAAGAGAAATAGAAACTAATACTGTAAAAATTTTGAAGGAATGAGCATAAAATTCCTTCACTATCTTAATTTTACATTTGTGCCATATTTGACAGTATTTACTATGTATGATTTTTTTTTTGTGCAGAATAAAAAAGACACTCAAAATGGTGCTATATTTATACAAACCATATCACTTTAAAATTAAAAGGAAACTTTAAATGTATTTTTGCTTTATAAAAAGAAGTGGGTAAAGTAGATAAAAAGATTTCAATTTAAAGTTTTAACTTTGAAAGTTTAAAAAAAAAGCAATGAAGTGTGTGACTGTTAAGATGTCTAAATAAATCAGAAAATATTTTTTAAAAAGCGTGAATACAGTAAATTCTATAATTTCATAGAATCATGAGATTATGAAACATGGCACACTAGAAATCTAAATGTGTGTGAGTATATGTAGTGTGATTGTAATGTGTGTATTGGGTGTTGTTTATATGGTATTTACTTTAAAAGTATGATGGAAAGAATAAATTATAGTGCTGATTATTTCATAAGAAAACATTTTTCATCTTAATTTATACACAACATATATGTATACACATTGTTATATAAATGTTTTTTGAAAATCAGAAAAATTAAGTATACATGAAAAACCTAAATGGTAAATAGTAGGAACATTATGTCAAATAAATTTGTGATAATTGGTGTTGTGTGTTTCTTTTTCTTTCTTATTGTGTCTGGCCTGCAACAAAAGTGGCAGAATGCAAGACTTAGGGATGCTAAACCAGCCACAGCAACGTAGTAAACTGTATAAAGCTTTGTATTTAAGAAGGTTGAAGACGTTGATGCTTCATATCTTCTATATAGCTGTTAACATTTTCCATGATGTTTGTCACTGATGACAAAATGGAGTTCACATTTAGTATTTGACTTTTTTCATTTTTTTTTTCTGCCCCTGTCACGGCTGAGGGGGCATAAGTTTTACCCTTGTCCGTCTTTACGTCTGTACATCCCAAAGTTAGTTTCTGCAATCTAACTTTATTTTCCCTCAACCAAATGTTATGAGACTTATACACAATACTTATTACCAAAAAACAGAGATCACTTTTGAATTTTGGTGGCGCTGTCACCATTCATTAGTTATGTCCCTTAATAAATGAAAAAATTGGCAAATTTGCAGTTTCTGCAATCTAACTTAATTTTGCCTCGACCAAATGATATGAAACTTATACACAATGCTTATTACCACTTAACTCGGATCAATTTTTAATTTGGTTGGTTTCACTTCCACTTTTCTCAAGTTATGTCTCTTTATAAATGGAAAAAATGCTAAATTTGACGTTTCCGCACTCTAAATTTAGGTAGCCTCAACCAAATGTTATGAAACTTATACACAATGCTTATTACCACCAAACACATCAAGTTTGAATTTTGTTGGCGTCACTTTGGCTGTTCTTGAGTAATGTCCCTTTGTAAATTAAAAAATTGCAAGCGATATCTGCATCCATAGAAACATTTTTCATTTATTGAAATTTAACAGTTAAGATGAAATGGTCTTGGATAGATTGGAAAATGGCACTTTACATTGTTTCAGTGCGACAACTAATGAAACAGTCCACCAAAGCTTTGAAATGTTAATATGTTAATACTGATTACCATTTTCACCAACCGGTATGCCGTTCAGCATTTTTGTTTCTTGACAGATTCGAAAATGACAATTTGTATCTTTTCTGTGCAAAAACTTATCAACTAGTTCTGCAAATGCTTTTCCACTTTTAATATGTTGTTACTGACGACAAATGGAGGTCAAGTTTGATATTAACTTTTTTTCACTTTTACTGTTCAAGACATGTGATCCTTGATAGATTGAAAAATAGGCACATCATGTGGCAAGTCAAACAAGCCTGATATCGCTATCAGTAATTATACATCAATTTCATTCCTAATGGCTGCCGTCTTAAGTTCAAAAATGGTTACCTTAATTAAAAAAAACGAAAACTTGGTTTGGTGTAAATATGACATCAATTCTTGTCATGGAGTTACTGCCTTAAATGACAATTTTTACCAATATTTAGCATTTTTTCAGAAACTATATTAGATAGTAAACCAGTAATTAGCAAAAATCTTCAACTAAATGATGAGATCTACAAACAATAATCGACATGGCTGAAATAGTAATTGAAGGTCTTAGAGGAGTTATTAGCCTTGAGAGATGATGTTTTATGCATTTTTGTGTTTTTTGCAAAAAACAATAATAGATGGAGGGAAATTGAAAAAGCAAAAATGTTTAGCTCAATAAGATAAATATGGCCAACACACTCAGCCAGATTTTTAACATGCTCAGTGATTTCATAAGATATTAGTCTGCAGGAAGACTATGTTATCCCACTGGGACACATTATTCTGACTCCAAGGCTACCAGTCTTTGCTCTTACTCCTAAAGTCTTGAGTGCTTAGCGTAAAAGCAGCAAAAAAATAATTTTCAACTCTTTGGACCTGGCAGGAGTTGGAACCCATGATCTCCTGCAATTGAGGCAAGGAGGCTATCATGAGATCACCAAGGCAGTTGATAGATGGGAAGAAACTCAGTGTAAACATAAAAAATTATCAATACAAGATCTTAAAACAATTCCACCAAATAAGATTAACAAATTAGTAAACAAAACTGATTGCAATTAAGGAAAAAATAAATATCAAAATAGCATTTTTTTTAAAGTTACCAGTAGAGTGATCAAAATACATACCCAGTGTCCACACTGTGCTAACAAGGATCTAACACTGCTGACTTTCTTTATTAAAGCCCTATTAGGATCCTCTAGGCTTGTTGTAAAGATACACACCTTAAATATTTTGAAGCCTGAAATTTCATTGGCTGATGTAATAATTACCAGAACAGAAAATAGAATATAGCGTGTTCAGATCCTTGTAACAAAGCAAAGTGTTGATAAAGTTTAATACCAAGAGAAATAGTGATTTATAATTAATTTGTAAGGTATATCAAAGGACAACAATGACTTTGAAAAAGAATTTTTACTTGAATCTACAATAGATATAAGAAGATGTTGTATGAGTGCGAATTAGAAAACTCTCCATCCAAGTCACAATTTGTAAAAATCAACCATTATAGGTCAAAGTACGGCCTTCAACACGAAGTCTTGGCTCACACCGAACAGCAAGCTATAAAGCACCCCAAAATGACCAGTGTAAAACAATTCAAACAGGAAAACCAACGGTCTAATCTATATAAAAAAACGAGAAACGAGAAACACTTATGAAGCACATCAACAAACGACAACCACTGAACAACAGGTTCCTGACTTAGGACAGATGTCATACTTGGAACTGAAAGCTGGCCATCAGACAAGATTCATAGCAGGGAGATTTTCCCTGATTCCTTAGGTTTTAACATCATCCGTAGGGATAGAAAAGGGGACCTACATGGAGGGGTGATCATAGAATCACAACATGACCTTGGCCTCACACAGAGTTTTTGTAGCGATAAGATAGAGCTGAGTTCAGGAAATATCAAAATAGGACCTAGAAAGTCAATATCACTCAACTGTTTCTTTAGACCACCAAATAAACAAGACCCAGAATATATAGATGCAGCATTGGCAGAAATAAAAAATCTACGAGAGAAAAATAAGAACAACATTTTCCTAAATTAGGAGGTTACTTTAATCTTCCAGACATTGATTGGACCTCATATGATACACACATCAATCAAGTACCAGCACAGGTCAATCTAGCTTTCATTAGGATGACTGCAGACCAAAGCGTCCAACAACTTGTGGAAAAAACCAACTAGAGGGGAAAATACTTTTGACCTTTTGTTTACATCACATCCAGGTCATCTCGAGAAATGTAAAGACACTTCCACCAATTGGAAACAGCGACCACGACATAAGACATAGCAGCGAAAGTAACAAGACCAAAACCAACCAGTAAAACCATCAACTTCTGGAAAAAAGCCAATATGGAGGGAATAAAGAAAAGTCTTACTGATAACCTCCCTGAATTTCAAAACGCCAGGTCCAGCGACATCAACACAATAAGGAATGATTTCAAAAACATCATCAAGAATGTATTGACCACATATGTACCAACAAAACAGACTAAGGAGACTAAGGAGAGATACAGTCACCCATGGATGAATACACAGCTATGGAAAATTAGCAACAGCAAACAGCGAGCACTCGGCATACACCTTGGCTAAAAGAACCAAGCACACTAAAGATTGGAAACGATACAAATTCCTCAAAGCAATATTATAGAAAGACTCCAGGGTTGCTCATGGAAAATACACGAAAGATATCATCAGCACAGATAAGCACAAGGAGAAACCAAAACGCTTCTGGTCCTACATCAAGAGCAGGAAACAAGAATCAACAGGCATTGTAACCTTAAAAGACAAAGAATGTCTACTCCACTGCGATACACCAACAAAAGCTTCAATATTAAACCATCAATTTCAATCTGTTTACACAAAAGAGGACACACATAACATACCACACATGGGACCACGTCCATTTCCAACTATGGACAATATCAGTCAGCCAGGCCGGAGTTTGAGCCTCCTAATGGGTTTTTGATTATGTGATTACTTGGCCGTTTATAGTGATTATTTGATTACCAGACCAAATATTTCATGATTTTTTGATTTTTTGACAATCTAGGACTGTATTTTTGATTATTTGATTATCTTGTTTAAAAAAATAATTAATGATTATGTGATTATATTGGCAAATAATTTGTGATTATGTGATTACTTGGACACCCGATGAGGGACCCCGAGTTTACAAGCTACTGCGTGGACTATAAGACAATTCAACGCCACTGGACCTGATGAAATTCCAGCCTATATACTTAAAGAAGAAGCTGAACTTATATCACCATACCTGACTATACTTTACCAGAAAGCTTTGGACACTAGAACCATCCCCAACGACTGTCGAGCTGCCAACATTGTGCCAGTTTTCAAAAAAGGTGAAAAACACAAAGCTTCAAACTACCGACCAGTCTCATTGACTTCCTTCTGCTGTAAACTATTGGAACATATTGTTCACATCACCATCATGGATCACTTTGACTATCACCAGATCCTATGTGGCCATCAACATGGGTTCAGAGCAAAAAGATCTTGCGGACCCCAACTCCTGATAACCCTAGATGAAATTGGCAAGAACATAGACCAAGGAGAAATGGAGAACAGACAGACATCATCATGCTAGATTTGTCCAAAACGTTTGACAAAGAGCCCCACGAGACGACTGTCCTCCAAAAAATTGGGCCATTACGGAGTACAAGGAGCAATCCTCCTGTGGATACAAGACTTCCTAAGCAAGATAACCCAAAATGTATTGCTTGAAGGGTATAAATCCGACCTCCTCATCTCAGGGGTGCCTTAGGTAACAGTCATTGGACCATTTTTATTTCTGGCTTACATAAACGACCTGCCACAATCTACAACTGCTGAGGCAAGGTTGTTAGCAGACGACTGCTGAGTTTATAGGAAGGTCAAGAACAACAATGACAGCCAGACACTATAAGACGACCTAAACAAACCCCAAGAGTGGGAATCACGATTGCAGATAAATTTCCATCCCTAGATCGAAGTGCATCGTGATACGGATTACCAACAAGAGAAATCCACTGATTATGAACTACCAACTACATGGTCACACCTTAGATGTAGTTGAGCATGGG